AGTCATTGCAAACACTATCTTGACTTCGTCCCCTCCCCGTCCAAAAAGAACAAACAGTAGAAGAGAAGGGGGGAGGTTTTTTAAAAAAATCACAAAGATATGCCTACGGCAGAATACGTTAATAAAATTAAACTCAGAAATGAAGTTTAAAGAGAAAGACTAGAAGAAGAATAAATTCGAAAAAAATGTCTGTACCCACTTGTAGGGTACAACACTTAGCAACTCAGTGAAAATTGAACTTCTAAAGTAACGTTTTTTTTTAGAAAAAAAAACATAATTTCAAGAAACTTAGAAAATAACCTCAGAAAAACTTAGCACCTAGGAAAATTGTTAGAGACTTCTCCTGAGAGACCATGTACAAGCCAGGTAATGGTACGTCGAACTATTCTTTTCCATAGCTGGTGGTCTCTTATTGGTTCCGTTTGAATGTCATGTTCGAAATTACAGTTATTTGTTAATTTCTTTTCTTCACCAAAACGCGAGTTTCAATACATAAAAGATAATGTAGAAGCCTAATCTAGTTTTTGATTCGCTAGTCCCACTGCAAATTCACGACTTGTCAGTGCTTCTTGGAAGAGCGAAGCAAATATATAAGATAGGCTTCATATAGCGGTGGGAAGTGAGTAATTCGTTTGATTTATATGTATAGTAAAGGCTTTACTCACCACTAATAACCCAAAATACTTTATGCATATGGATAACGTGTGACATACTGTCACAACTATTTATCCATTATTATTCAGTGGACTAACCAATTTTTTTATTCATTTGTTGATTTCGTTTCTTCCCCGAAACGTGAATTTTAGTGAGGAAAAAATAATGTAGAGGCTTTATCTATTCTTTGATTCGCTACTCCTACTGAAACATACTAGTTTCGCCGAATTCATGGCTAAGCTTTGCTTGTTTGCTTTTTAATTTCGCGCAAAGCTACACGAGGGCTATCTGCGCTAGTCGTCCTCCACAGTAAAAAAGAATTTGAGAGAGAAATCAGTGAATAATTCAGCTGCAAGCATTGTCGAACTTCTTCTATATCAGTACCAAGAATCATTACAAAACTCAACTGTCTGAACATCTCTGATCATTCCATACGTATAGTAATGATTGAAAGTGAATCAAAATGGATAATTTTAGCAAAATAACATTTCAAAGATTTACGTTTTCAATTGGGTATCATGATACTGGTCAAAATATAATTTCGTTGAATGTTATTTTATGCGGTTGTTCGTTGGCGCTTAGCCATGGGCCCGGCATGGCCAGGTGATTAGGGTGCTTCACTCGCAATCTGATGGTCGCGGATTCGAATCCCCGTTCCACCAAACACGCTCGCCCTTTCAGCCGTGGGAGCGTTATAATGTGACGATCAGCCCCACTATTCGTTGGTAAAAGTGTAGCCCAAGAGTTGGCGGTGGGTGGTGATGAGTAGCTGCCTTTTCTCTAGACTTTCACTGGTAAATTCATACCACTGTGCCATTTGAGGGCTCCCTCATAAAATCGCTTTAACTATTGTAAGGCGAAACCATTGAATAGACAGTAGAGAGGGAAACGTCTTTCAGTTAACGTTTGTAAACTGTCTAGAAGTTATATACAACATTAAATAACAGAATGATGTGAATGGGACATCTATATTTGTTGTCTTTGATGTAAAATGTATTAATTATCTAATAGTTATGAAGAGTAAGAGCAGAATAAACTGAAAAGAAGGAACGCATATACATATAATTGAATTAAAATTGATAAAATAGGCCTGTGAATATTTTTTTTACCGCAACTGAATATAATATTCCTAGATCACATGTTTTTGCAATATTCTCTAAATTGGATGTTTTTGAGAAATATTTAAACATAGCTTGTACGTTTTTGGTGTTATTTTTTCTGTTTCTATCAAAATTGGGGAAGTGCAGTTAAGATAAAAGATACAATAAGAGCTTCGCAGTTTTGTATAGTTTTCGTAAACTTATTTTTGTGTTCTGAAACTTTTCTTTTTCGGCTTGCTGCTTTTTATATTTGATAATGTAGCATGTTTCAAGCAGTAGATATAAAACTAGAATCGGTTGTTCTATGTAAACAGAAATAATAACTATTCCTCTACCTCCTGTTCTGTAGATAATAAAATATATATAACCATGTCTGTAAAATCTAACTGGAGTCAGTCATCCTTGAATATTGTTTTTTATCAAGTAAAAGTACAATATGAAAATCGACTTCCTATGGGGTATGTTAATTGTTTTATATTCCTTATCAAGTAAAAGTACAATATGAAAATCGACTTCCTATGGGGTATGTTAATTGTTTTATATTCCTTATAAAGTAAAAAAGCAGGTCGACTGAAACTCGTTCAAACAGACTTTTAAATTAGGTTGATAAGCATATATGATGAACGGTAGACTGACAGAAATGTGGCAAGAATCGACAGTAAAAACCCTCATAAATTGTTTGTTTGTTTGTAATTAAGCACAAAGCTACACAATGGGCTATCTGTGCTCTGCCCACCACGATTATCGAAACCCGGTTTCTAGTGTTGTAAGTCCGCAAAGGAATATAAAACAATTAACATACCCCATAGGAAGTCGATTTTCATATTGTACTTTTACTTTATAAGGAATATAAAACAATTAACAAACCCCATAGGAAGTCGATTTTCATATTGTACTTTCGTCCTCTTTGAAGAATACATTTAAGTGGATTATTGCAATCATCCAGGTCGAATTGAACAGGACAGCTTTGCCTTGATGAACAATTAAATACTCTTGTTCCACCTGAAAAAAGGAAGGGTTCATTAATGATCAATAGCAGTGTATTTTACGAATTACCATGCGTAAGATTTGTTGATTTTTATTTTCTGGTAAATCAAGCCGTAATTGAATGACATGTTTCCTTCCTATATAATCTATCATAGATATAATTTTTCCCATATTATCTTTACTAACTTGTAAGCTTTAACACGTAAAAAGCTTTTTTTATTGCGCTTTGCCTCTCGCTTAAATATTTTGAATAGCCCTTGTGCAAATAGTGACGTATTTTTCAATTCATTGTTATCTGATATTTTTATTGGTAATACTTCTCATGTTTTTAATTCTAAAGCTTTGCTAATACTTCTCATGTTTTTAATTCTAAAACTTTGCTAATACTTCCTATGTTTTGAATTCTAAAGCTTTGCTAATACTTCCCATGTTTTGAATTCTAAAGCTTTGCTAATACTTCTCATGTTTTTAATTCTAAAACTTTGCTAATACTTCCTATGTTTGTATTCTAAAGCTTTCCTAATACTTCCCATGTTTTGAATTCCAAAGCTTTGCAAATACTTCCCATGTTTTTAATTCTAAAACTTTGCTAATACTTCCTATGTTTTGAATTCTAAAGCTTTGCTAATACTTCCTATGTTTTGAATTCTAAAGCTTTGCTAATACTTCCCATACTGTGAATTCTAAGGCTTTGCTAATACTTCCCATACTGTGAATTCTAAGGCTTTGCTAATACTTCTCATGTTTTGAATTCTAGTCGACTGTGATCAGTCGTAAAATTTCGGATTTTAAACTTATAATATTATTACGAGTAAACTTATTCTGTAGTGGTTACACTTACAATTAAAAAAAAAGATTGGCAACCAGAGGATACATCATGGTTACTTCATCTAGTGAGTGTTATGCAACCCGAATATAAATAATTTTTATTTTTGATTATGACAGAAGTTTGTGACTAGTAATCTGTGAATACGGTATTTTATAATACGGGTTATTCATTAAATCTGAGCAGTTGAAATGCAAATTGAACTCATCAATCAGATTTTTCCTTTCGAAAGCATGATTATGACCTTGAATTTTCAACTTTGAACTAAATATCAAGTATCCCGTTGAGTTATAGATTTCATATTAAACCATAATTTGTTTGTTTTTTATTTTATTTTCACATAAATATTAAGAGTTAAACGTACACGAACGAAAAAGAACAAAATGTTCGAATGAAAGAAGGCAGTTCAAACCAGAAATTACTAAACGCTTAAATACTATTAAAAAATTACTACCCACTAAACAAATACTGAAATAAGATAAGTAAATCAATCAAGATCACTTGGGTAACCTTCCTATCATCAATTTAGCTGGGCTAATGAGAGCTGATACAGCTCGAAGATTTGTTTTCAACGGGTCATGGTATGTGATTTGTTATCCAACATGTAAAATATCCTTAATATTTCAAACTATATCTCAGTAGGGAAAAAGTACAAAAATATGTTTTTACACAAAACCTATACAAAATTGAATCAGAGACTTGATACGTTATTGGTGTTCAGTGATGCTAAATATATTACATGTTGCTCGCTATTCTTATAAATCTATATAAATATAATGGTACTGTCTGTTGTATGTCCATATAATTACTTCGCAGTGTGTGGATGGATCTTCATCAAAACTGGTATGGAGGTTAATTAGGTCCATGCGGGGGTACATACAAATTTTCAGTCTTTCATTTTGCGTTTTGTGGTTTTTATGGGGGGTTTTGTGATTTTGTAATTTTTTTTATTTATCAATACCTCACCTCTTGTGGATGGATATTCACCAAATTTGGTATGGAGGTTCATTGGGTCCACATCGGGCTATCTGCTTTGTCCACCTAGAGGAATCGAACCCCTGATTTTAACGTTGTAAATCGGAAGACTTTCCACTGTACCACCGGGGGATCCATGGGGAGATACATGCAAACTTGAGGTTTCACATTTTGTGTTTTGCAGTTTTTATGGGCGTTTTTGCAATTACATATTAGGGAAGCAACGTTTCATGTCCTAATATAACCTTTCATTAATCATGAATTTACCTAACTCCAGCTAGTGCACAAATATAACTAGACCTGAGTAAAAGCTGCGAAAAAATTTATAATACTGTGAAGGAAGGGAATTTTTAATTTCATTAATATTTTGTCCAAAATACTTTCATTGTGAATTAAATTTCCAGTGAGAAACAACAACAATAACAAAAAAAGATTATATTTGGAGTTTATTAATATTTAAAGCTTTTCAAATTAATGTAATTTTTATTGTATGTTAAACGTTGGTGTTTAAAAGAGACTAAATCAATTAAATTCAAAGATAATGATAATTATAATTAGTTGATTTTCACATTAAGTGGGCCCCCACGGTAGCTCAGCGGTAAGTCTCAAGGTTTATAACGCTAAAATTCGGGTTTAACACTCGTTGTGGGTACAGTATATATAACACTAAAATTATATATACATATAACACATATAGCCCACTGTGTAGCTTTGTGCTTCACAAAGTAACAAACATATTAAAAGTTATAAGTTGCACATCTAATCTTTGATACTCGGTGCTGCATAATGAGTTATGTTTTATGCGCTATACGTTGAATTATAAGCGTCATATATGTTTTAATAGACTACATAGTCACTTCAAAATATGAAAAATTCTTTACCTTGTTACGTGTAGATACACTATTTAAATTGTTCTTCATATTTCTGTAACGCAAAAAACACCAACAGCGGTGCAGAGGTTCGATACTTTTGGATAGCAGTAACCCACAATTCCGATCTCTCTTTTTATGCCACATGATAAATCTTCTTTTTAGAACTGAATTACATTATTCTTTTCTACAAATTGAGCTTCAAGTCCTGTTATTATAATTTATATACCAAATACTCAAATCGGTACTATTTTACGTTATTACACACATAACAACGACTAATCTCTGTAACTGTGCTAAATAATGGTAACTAATCCCTCTTACTAAATGTTACATAAAGAGGTATAATCTCTGTTACTATATGCTACATGAGAGGTCTAATTTCTGTTATTATATGCTACATAATGAGG